CTTAGTATTTTTATTTATTTATTTATTATTACGTAACTACGTCTGAGACCCAGAGCTTCCAGGTTCACTTCGAACTATTATTATTGAACACGACTGTGTATATTTCGATCTCTATTAGGTCTGCCTATGAACTTTATTAATTGTTTTATGTTAATTAATATTCCTATTTCTCTGTGTTTTAATTCAATTATGCCATATTTTTATAGGCGTGAAACTGTCGCCTTGTCCATTTGTTTATTTACAGGTGTGAGTATAATACACATTTATTTCCATGTGCCGCGAGTGGAACCTCCGCCACTCTGTAGGGGGTTTGGATTTTTCACTCACATAGGTTAACGGTCAGCAAGTTTTGATTATTTGAGACCGTTAATTTTAGTGATGGTTTCTACATTGAAATCTTTGAAATAAGAATTTGCCAAAAAATAAAAAAAAGAAACATTGAAAATATAAAAACATTTACCAGCGACAGTTTACCACCTAATAAACTACGTTCGTATCTGAAAATGCTGTCGGAAGATGGCGCCACCGTCTTTCTATCATTTGTAATTTTAAGATGAAATATATCTTAGCTTTACTTTAGATCTCATTTTCCCAAGCATGTCCCAATCGTGAAAATCCACGTTATGGATGACGAAACAAGCAAACAACCGTTCGGTTCGCACGCCGTCCGCGAACGAAGCGACGTAGGGAGGCTCAAGTGAGGGTGGGTGCAACTGCTAGATCGGCGATCATGGGACATGTACGCCATTTAATTGCTAAATTTTGCTGGGAGTCTATGGTGCAAAGGGTCGTTTTCTTTATTAACTCAGGTCATAAAAGCCCATTAAGGTGTTTGAATAATTTACACAAGGTATAAATGATTACTTTTCCATAGCCACCAATTTTGTTGCGATAGGTTGAGTATTTTTTTAACGCGAAAAATGGTAAATTCCGCCATCTTGGATGTTGCTGCTTGTCTGGCAACCTTGCTTTCTCCGCTCGACGTTTGCAATTCTCGGAGCGAGAAGGAAGCGAGAGAGGCTGCGCCAAGGCGCTCGTTGCTTGCAATGGGAGGCGAGAGGAGGAAAGGCGCATGGAGCAACAGAGTTGCAACAGAGCGGGCGCCTGCTCTCGTGCAGGCAACACTGGCGCATATCGTTTCTCGAATCCTCTCCCTCAGTCGCCCCCTATTACATTCCAAACGCTCTCCAGGTTTCGAGTTGCGCCCACCCTCACTAGAGCCTCCCTAAAGCGACGCCAATGCTAGTGGCGCCATCTCTTGATGGCGCACGAAAACGTCGTCATCGTTGCTCTGCCTGGGGACCTGACATCGAAGGGCATGCTCTCATTCCGCACTTTTCGTCGAGACAGGGAAGCGTCCTGATATTGTGTAACCGGTTAACGCTCAAATATTTATTTCGTAAAGAGACAAACATTTTATGTTTATTTTACCACCGCTCGAAATGTCGGGACACTATTCTCATGTATTTATTATTCAATAGAACTTTCCCGGACATTGAATTCAATGCCTAGGATTACCTACAGGATTGATTACTCCAAATAATAGAGGTGCTTAGAAATATACCGTCATATACTTCATGGTGCAATACCCTTTCAACTTGACATAAAGAAATAAAGAAGTAGCTCCATTTTTGCGTCGCACTGGCAAAGCTTGAGACTGTTTTTCGTAAATTTGAACTTGATAGAGATTTAATATGTATTTGCATATGCCGTCACGCGACAGAACTATTGATGTCTTTTGAATATTCTATAATACAATTTTCTTTTGCACTTCGGGCAGCCTCATACTCTCATGAGGTCGCACAAGTTGCTGCATATCACGGAGCTACCTTTTAGGGAAGCTGAGGCTAGAAGCAACATTTTTATAGATTGTTTTAGTTCCTTACGCTCTTTTCATAATCAGTTTTTCTGCTCATTTGGTCCTGACACCCCCCCCCCCCCCCCTTTCCATCCCTTAACTGGCTGACACTTGTTGCCAAGACAGAAAAATTTGTTTCCTGAAAGGTTCAACATCCAGATACAGCGATAACCAACCTACAACGGCGATAATTAATATCCAAAACATTTTAGCTGTAAGAGCAAAGAATCAGGTGTGATCATTTTAAAAGCTCTGACATCCGACAACCTTGAGCAATTCCAAGTTGACGGTGCTCACGCACATGAAAGATTTACCCGAAATGCCGGCGTGATTGAAGCATTCAACTCTGTTGCAGTTTCAAAGGACACATCGTCAATATGAAAATGAGACCAGTGTGTGGGCGCCAAAGAGCATACATACCGCATTTACACTATCACTTCCCGATCAGGTGAATCTCCTCGCAGAGAACGTGCACGCTTATAATTTAGATATTTACGAAGAGTCCAGCGAACGACTAGACCTAAAAGAATTTTGCGTACAAGTTTCGTGACGCTGAACACAGCGCTTCGTCTGCATAAAGTAGTGTCGAGAGAGTGCGTTGCATAAATGTTATCGCTGCTTCGCATTCGCTGTAACGTTCGATGGCATTAGCGAATAATTTTCGCGCGACACATTCCCTCCTTCCGTTCGAGTCTGTGGCTGTTTATACTTCTGCGTTTACAAGATTTCTACTCCATTGTACGCCGCGAACGTTCACTGCTGCCCCATGGTTTTTCCAGAAAACCGAAAATAGTCATTGGCCGAAAACGCAACGTACAGATACTCCGCCAATGTGTTGCCACCTGGTCCGCACTAGGCCTGGACAGACGTTGGCCTTGCCGGGGGTCCTCGTCTGTATATTCTCGTTCCGCGTTCTTTACCCATCTCTCCTCCCCCGTTCCCCCTCACTTTCTCTCGCCGCTGGCTCTCTTCCCTTCCCCTTTCCAGGCGAGGTTTGCTTGGTTCCACGAAATAAATGTTGTTGTGAACTAAAAGCCTTGACATGCCTGTCCTCGTGCCTCCCTTTTAGATAGATAGATAGATATATAGGTAGATAGGGTTTATTTCCGTGCCTGCAAACAGCCAAGTGGCCTGAGCAGCAGTACGCCGTCCTGGGCACAGATACATTAAAGTATGAGATAAAAACACAATCAGGCGAAAATGTCGGTTTTACCAAAAAATGCATCACGAGTCTGTTGCAGATGTGTCATTGGGCAAGTGGCCCGCACATCAGGATAAAACGTATCTCTGCATTTTGATCTCTTCCTTGACGGTACCCGGAACCTCAGCGACATCAGCAGCTGAGCACAATCAAGAGAACCATGCACTTTTGTTTAGCCTTCGCGATATTACTCTTAGGTAACGTCTCTTCTTCAGATGTAAAGGGAAAAAGATATGCATAATGCAGACTGACTTGATTGATAGATTAGTTTGATATAGGAATTTTTTGCTGCAAAGGCGTGCTATACGTTCAGCGAGGAATACAATACATTATTGGACTAAAAAGCCCGTGTAATTCAAGTTTGGTAAAAAAAAAAGAGATCCTTACGGCACCACTGAAAGCGCAGTTTTTTTGTTTTTTTTTTTAATATATTTTTTTTGACTCACAAACAAAACCCACGATTGTCGTGTGTTGCTCCGCACAATTACTGACGTGGACAGGCTTGTGTTTCTGTGATTACCTAAAGAGAAGGACGAACAACAAACGGCCAAGAAGATTCTGAAGTTCTCTAGCTGCGCTACCAATTTTGGGCCTCCCTTCGTGTCGTTTAAACAAAACTTAAGTAAGCGATTCTTGCGAGATTGGACATAGAGATGCGCCTTGTCTATTTCAACATATATCTATATTACAGCGAAAACCTTGTAGTTGAGGTTCGGGCATCTCTCATTCTGAAAACATGCCAGAACGCCCATCCATGAGATTAGAGTGTGTGCTCGGAACATCAATCTTTAGATTCCGCGTATTTCTTCCCAAGTGCTGTATTTTCTTGGCTCAAGGGAACAGGCCGCCCATTAAAACGAATTGGGGGGGGGGGGGGGGGGGGGGGGAGAGGGAGGGAAGTCCGGAAGAATTCTCAGATGTACATTCGATTGCCACGAAAATTCCCGAATGCTCAACACTCTCGGCCTCATCATAAGGAGGCCATGATCTTTTTTTATTTCTAATTGGCAAACCAATTTATTCTATATAAACTCAGCATTAACGGATATATTTTAGGATAAATTAACTTCGCTGCAACGCAAACTACACGACGAGGTTTGCCCGAACACGACACTTGTACTGTTTCAAATTTGATTAGACGTGACATTGAACACCAACAAACTTTACCACCAAAGTGGAAGCACCGAATATGCGCTTTGCCGGGACACTACAAGTTTTTATTCAATTTATTCTTGTTTGATTTCCGAAGAAAAAACAACAACTGGCGATTGCTTTTGCTCGTGCAAACACTCAATATTAGCACGTGCTAACACTGAGTGTTTGCACGAGCTAACACTGAGCTAGGTACCTCCTCTGAGAGAGTCTGATGTTCGTACAAGAACGAAAAGAAACTCTTGATGCAATAGAGCCACAGGATCGGCCTCCAACGCTGGAGGCCGATCGGAGAAAGGAACAAGCGGAGGATCGTCCTGGCCAGTCTGCTCTCGTTCTTGGCAGCAACGAGACTGGACATGCAAATATAAAAGAAAGTCCATTCCTTTCTCCCTGCCTTTCTTCTTATTCCTCTTCCTCGATCCCATCACCTGTCTGGCTGCACGCGAGCAGTATATCGGCGGCAGTTCTTCCTCCCCGCCCTATTGAACAACTTGAATTCAATAAATCTTTTCTGGAATTGAACCCCTTGATCACCCGTGGTTAAGAGCCCAAGCTGGCCTTGAATCGTTGTGTTTTGAAACTTTAGATGGTTAGTTTTCTTGTTCTATTTTAATATTTTCTAACCAGGTAGATTTCTACCGAAAGGTTCATTTTTAATACTCAGTGCTGCGAAAGGTTTTGTGAACCAAAAGAGCAGCGTGAGATGACGTACACAAAAGAAAAAAACTTACCCTTTTTGGCAAGTTCTCGAAATACGGACGCCTCGACACGAGCTAGTTGAAGATATATCTGTACAAACATTTGCTTTATTTCGTTCACCTAGTCATCTTGATATGTACAAGAAAAAGGCACGAAAACAAAAGCGATTGTTCAAGTGCCGAAAATAATTAACACAAGGCCTCAAATCGGGCCTTCAGACAAACTACGATCAGTTATTTTTTTTTTCTTCTTCGGAATTGCTATCACGTTATAAAGATGCTAATTCTCACTAGCAGTGACAAGAGACCGAATTTTTTGCGGGATGCAGTTTCAACATAGTCGTACCTTTTTTTGTCCTCCACGATAACACGCTCTATAGTAACTGACAATATAAGAAACGAAGGGTGTGGCTTATCATGCTCGCGCTTCTTTCTTAGTGATTTGTTTTTCTATTAGGTTTCTATCTGCTGACGCCTCACTCTCATTGAGCGCGGAGCGACGATGCCGCACCCAGCGTTTCTTAAATTCACAGCGACTCTATACAAGTCGTGCGCACCCCGAAACCTCGACAGACCGCTTGATTGCATCATAAAGAAAAAGGTCGACATTTCCTCGACAGTTCAGTGATACAATGAGAAAAGTGTTACAGGAAATCCACGCCGTTACTCCAAGCGAAATTAGAATCTACAGACTAAACTAAACTAAAACACACCCACAATCAGGCCAGTTCATCAAGGTTTCTCAGGGAAACGCGACAGCTATAAGTCGTTGACAGCTTAAGAAACCCTTGGGCGTGGCTTATATCATGCCCGGCCCCCCTGCTTTGTGATTCGTACTGTGGCGTTCTCAGTGGCGGATGCAGCAACCTTATTGGCAACGAATCTATAATGAGTTGGGCGGGATTCATCACGCCCTTGCGTTTCGTGAGCTGCCATTGACTGTAAACACAACTGAGCCCTTTCTGACGCAGGTCTTCGCTAAAAGGCCTCAATGAAGTCTCAAGCCTTTGTAACAGGAATAACTCAACTAGACCCTTGTCTTCTTCTTTTCTTAAGAGTCGCTGCTGCAGTAAGATGACTGGGTTTCTGAGCGTCAGCGAACGTTCTTATCACTCGATTGCTCCATCCTAGATGAGCACACTCACACGCACACATAAAAAAGAAACGAAACGGACCGCCCCATAAACCCACGTTGGCCAGGTTCATCTGCACGAACATGACTCAGTCTCAGTTGATTCGTGGACATCACACCAAGTGCATCCGCCGCGAGGACATCACTTTTTCATGCCAAAGACTTAAAGCGGAGCTCAGTGTAGGTGAAGGTGGTCGTAGCTCCCGTCTCCAGTCCGCGTCTTCCTCTTCTCGATCACTTCTTTCGGGACGGTCTTCAAGTCGTAAGCCAGTCCGATCGCGGCCATGCAGTCGATGAACATCGTGGTGAAGTTCAGCTTCCAGCCAAGTTCGCTAGTTGAGTAGTCCCACGGGAAGGTGTGGTGGTAGTTGTGGAAGCCCTCGCCGATGGCCGCCCACGAGACAAATCTGTTCTCGGCTGGCGAGATGTGCTTGTCGTACGGGCGGCATCCCCACAGGTGGGCAGCGCTGTTCACGAGCCAGGTGAAGTTGAGCGAGAACACGTAGCGTAGCATGGTGGACACAAAGAAGGCGTTCCAGTAGGTCTCGCCGAACATGTAATGCGGTAGCACGGCGGGCAGGTAGAAACAGAAGAAAGTCGTCAGGGGCACGTAGTACCTGCGTGGAAACGAGGTGGAAGCATGACTAGCCCGCACAAACGTTTGGAGTCGGGTGCCTCGGGTCCACTGGATGCACTACTGAACTTACAAGAAACACAGTCTGCAAGATTAGTGTAAATCTTGCTAGCATTGCGTACGTATTGCTTGAAAACCTGATGCCTGTCCGATCGTCTGGAAGTAACGGTTGCACTAGGCAAAGGCCAGAACCAACCACGTGGTGTTTTTCTGCACGGTGCTCGACGAAACGAAATGAACCAGCGGAGCGCTTGGCCTCGTGTACCTGCTGCGACATCTGCGGAAGGAAGCTTTGCGATTTGGTGTCACGAGTCGCGCCAGCGCGTAGCTGAGCCAAGCAGCGAGCGGCTATTCGCGCTCGCGGCTGAACCCCCGATGAATGATCTTTATAACGCATGAATTTCGAGCTTAACCGCTTTCTTTAATCATGGCGCGCACCTCGCAGTTTATTCATTCATCTGTCTTTTAAGACGTGAGCTTATGTGGCCCCAATAACATAAACAAAAAGAAAAAAAGCTTAAAACAAAATTTGTTTTTATTTTAGACATTCTAAAAACAATTTTGGCAAATTTCTAAGCAATTGTGTTGCATACGTGAAACGTTCTAGTACCAACGACTTTTAGCAATACTCCGATTTCCCGCCAGATCCCAGACGCCTACGTACACGACGCTCTTGATAAGATAGTTTAACGCTTACCATGTGTACACTTAATGGTTGCTTCTAGAATGAAGCGATACTACCGCTAATCGGACCGATAAACCTGGTGATCTTCCAGTCTTCCATACTCTCCAGCACCTCTCCCTCAGCGCGTACAAGTGGTCGAGGGGACCTCTCCGTTAACCTATCAGCGTCAAACACCCAACTCCTCCTCTCCTACCCGTCAACCAATCAGTGTCGATCCTCGCGGCCACGCTTTTATTTGGGCTTCACGAAATGCCGAAGACCTAGTCAAAGAACGTTTCACGTTAATAGCACCTCAACTCACGGCGATGTGTCGTGACATGCTGGAAAGAGACTCGCTTAATTATCTAAATGGTCTAGGTTAAATTCGCGTCTGGCGCAAACGCTTCTCTTATGGGTGGCCTTTGTGTCCAGCCTCGCGGCCACGCTTTCATCTGGGCTTCGCGAAATGTCAAGCACCGAGCCAAAGAACGTTTCACGTTTAAAAGAACACACGAACTTTCATGACACTACAGAATTATTTAGTGTCAACTGTTAGCTCACTGCGAGTGAAGGACGTTTTTTTTCTCACAACTTTAACCTTTATAAAAAGACAGATCGGTGCACACTACTGGAATGAAAAACGCGGTCGTGTTGCAAACTCATGGCTAGCGTTGATCAGCTATCAGGTTGTTGTGCACCGAGCACGAACAGCCGCTAAGTGCGAGGCTGAGGTGTGTGAACGTGCGACTCGCGACACCAGATAACACGGCCTCTCCTGGCAGATGGCGTCACAGGCACGTGACGCCTATGGCGCCATTTTGTTTTGCTGAGCACTGTACAAGGCGTTTCTAAGAAAATAGTTAGTTAGTCGTAAAATATTCCGAGCTATAAAACCCAGATTTAAAAAAAAAATACCATTACGTTTTTAATAAAATGAAAGAAATCTAATTTGTTTCGTTTAAATTAGGTTACCATGATATAAGGGGGCACACCCCCTAGGAGGGTCAACTTTTGAACCCTTAGCTTAACATCAATGAAATTTGCAGGGTAGGCTGGTGGTCACGCTCGATGGTGCATAACAAAATTTAATGTCTGTCGATTAAGAGGGAAGGAAATTATGGCAGCTTTTATCAGCAACACGCCTACATTGTTTAGTTAATCTATCGTCGGCAAACTATCACAATATTCAACATTTTTATTCGCTAGATATGTAGCAAAATGCCTAGGAGCTGCGGCTATGGAATGCTTTTTGTAAAAAGTCATTTATTTCTATCAATTTGCTCTTCTGCAAAATTGGTCAACTTTTTGGTCTTCTGTGTCTTTGACAAAATGTCAACATTTTTTTTATAAAACACATCTGTAAAGTGACAAACACGTTCCATATCCGGATTCCTTATTAAATTTCAGTCAGGAAAAGTGAAGAACGAGCCTTCCCTGTATTGCCATTATCAAACGATAGGTTGACTAAAATGGAATTTATACCAAAAAGTGGAACGGAGAAAAATGTGTTCAAAGTGCTCCAAACCCCATGTTTTCTTTAGCTTCGGTGGACAGAAAATAATTTATAAAAAATTAACTATGCAGTGTAAACTAGTGAAAATTTCTGAAAATACTCGCTAGATGTTGGTGGATGAAAATACGTAATTTTTCGAAATCAATGTTTTTTGCACAAATATTTTTTTCTGGGTAGTGTACCCCCTAAACCACTTTAGCTAGAAAATAGTAATTTTTTATCACTAGTTTTATTTTTGAACGTGGCCGATTAATTGATTAATTCGTCAGATCCCTGATAACAATCCGGAAGAATTTATGTAAATGTAACGTACAGTTTAATTAACAAACTTTTTATGGCAACCAGACAGTATGATCTTTTAGTTAAGGAACTTCATTTCATTCTTATTTCGAGTTTTGAGTTGATTGCAAAATGATATTACTTTTCCAGCTTTCGTTTCTTTTGCGTTTTGATTTGGTTGCAATAGGACGTTAAGTAGCTGACCATGTGGAAGGTACAACTCAATCTCAACGCCTCGATTTACTCAGAAGTCAACTTCTTTTTGATCGTGTTGAGCCTCATTATTTAATTTAAATATAAAAATGCATAGAAAGCATCCAATGAGTGACAAATAGTAAATAAATCATATATTTTTTTTAAAATATGTTCGTGAAAGAGGTGTGATTTAAATCATCATAATAAAACTTGTCTGAGTTAAAGCACGATCTAAAGAATATTTAAATACCGATTTAAACATATTTATTGTCATTCTTCACCCTGACACCATTTCGGCTGGTTGTTTGGTTGAGCTAGTCTCAGGTGCTGTGAGTTAAAAAAGGTCAAACCCCGCTGGGTCAATAAAAAAAAGAAAACACCCAATATGCTAGCAAAATGTGTTATATTGCATCATAAAGAAATCGAAAAGAGAATAAAATGCTTGTGAGTAGGCGGAATTGTCAAAGTATGACAAGGTCCTTGACAAGGTAGTTGTCTCATACTTGGACGGTACTATACTCGCATCCACATCAAAAGCCGTAGTAAAAGTAGTCCGACTCCTCGCGGAGCATTACTAGTATCCCCCTTTATGTGGTGAAACAAGGTGTATGTAGGTTAATTTTAGGTTGCCTGTTTTATTTTATTAAGGCGCACATGTTTCGAACGCCAAAAAACTATCGTGTTTTCAACCCACAACCAAATTTCGAGAACTACTTTGCACAGCCTATGAATAATGAGTAAAACTTGCATTTTCCTTGATGCACAACGAGTGTAGACCTTATTCAGTCTCGGTCACGCACTGCACCGTACGAGTTATGCAAGCAAGGGAAATACTCTAGCATGTAAGCCGAGGTCATTATTACTATTAGCATACAAAGAAATACGTTATATGTAAAAAAGAATAGTGGAAATACGTTTTTTTGTATTTTGTCATGACTCATTTTCTTCTTTGTTTCTTGCTGCGACTTTCTTTTTCGCACACCTATGTGTTTCTGAACCCGTGAAATTTTAAAAGCGACGTTTCTAGACGTTGAATTAATCGTCGTACTACTTCCTTTTGTCCGATTTGAAACACTGCTATGCCTTTGACCTCTCAGAAACAGTGTGGAAACCAGTTCTTATGCATCTTAATTTGAGAATCCTCTTAATTGTTTTCGCACTAAACGCAATTACAGCAGATAGCGACGACACGTTGTTAACAAGAAAAATCTCAAAGGTACGCAGCTCTAGTCGATGATTCGTCCCGTGTTGGTCTACTTAAAATAATAAACTCTTAATTTACGCAAAGTGGACATAGAAGTTAATTTTCAAAGATAAAAAGAAACCACACAGATTATAAGCCATACTTGACACAACAACGTGTATCGTGCCTTTGACAGGAAACAAACTGCACTAGTCTCCCAACCAAACATGATAGATTTTAAATATCTAGTGTCTACTAATTAATTATTTTGCTAATGTACCCCGACAGCTAACTCCTAAGAATGCGAACGTTTGTTTGAGAGATGATACCTTTTGCTGATAAAGTTATCACTACAGCGGGCACGGCAAGTGCTTGCAGCACGATTCTTCATCAACAAGATTCTTCGGAGTAAAGAACCTAGAGGCGATAAACGCAGTAAGCAGTAATTTCTCGTAATTATGTGTTTAGATGTAAGGCCTCGCGGCATGGAAACTGCGATCATTACGAGCTGCAGGTGTTTTTCCCCCGCAATTTTCCCCCCGCTTGACAAGTTTGTTTGCGTCTCCTTTGTTGTCGTGTAGCACCTGACTTGCGCTAAGTAAAGTGGATTGTATTCGCAATTTTGAGGTGCGCTGTGTGTATCTCCGGGCACTATCTTTGCGCGATGCACAAAAGCATGTCGCTGCACGAATTTCTAGGAAAAGGAAGAGAGGCGCAGAAAGAAAGAAAATCTCGACGTACTTTTTCTGGAACCGAATGACGGGGTCCCTGAGCAGGTCAGAGCAGTCGACGGCCTTGCCCTTGCGCATCACGTCGGGGTGCTTCTTGCACATGAGCCAGCCCATGTGGGCAAAGAAGAAGCCTCGGTTCACATTGTGCGGATCCGCGTGGGTCTCGGAGAACTTGTGGTGGACCCGGTGATCCCTCGTCCACTCGTACAGGTCGTTCTGTGGAATGGTGGGGAAACGACAGCGAGAACAACGAGTCACTTTCCGCGGTGAGGAACCGGTGGCCGAGGATGTTAGCGCAACCCAGCTTGGAGCGCTTGAAGCGAAACCTTTTGCTGCAGAGACCAGTCACCATGGGCTCAGTCCCGACCCTTGCCAGTTTTAATCTAGATAAGCATCGTACGGGCGTGCGGTCGTGTATCGCCACAGCATGATGCCTGTTAAAGACACCAGTCTTGCAGTTGTACTGCACTGGCTAAATGTTTAATCTACAGCGTAAAACAGTATGGCCACACATTAAAGGCAGACGACCTTACGCTGTTTAGACACAAACGTGAAATGTGCTTGTTCTTTTTTTTTTCACTTTCTGAGTGTTAATTTAGCATTCTCTGCTCCCACATTCCACTATCCACAACTCCAACGGCGTGCAGTTAAACCCCTTTTAAGTTTCATATTTTGGCCGCCATGCCGCGAAAGTTCTCGCTGTACACTTATACTGGAAATAGCCCCTCGCTCCTCCCCTTCGTGTATTTTCCGCTGGGTGGCGTTGGCTCCTCTGGAGTTTCGAACAGAGCCACGAATCCGAAGCCACGTGTACGGACAGTATTTCGTTCCTGGATTAGTTTGTTTGATGTGCGGGGAAAGAAGGGATAGCCGGGAGAGGTCTGGGCCTCCACTGCGTAATCCATTAGAGGTGAGAGAAAAGTCGTCATCGTAAACCGCTTTAATGTGCAGAAAAAAAAAAAAAAGAAACTAATCTTTTGAAAAACTTAAGATTATCAGCCTACGTTTCTTCGAGTGTTTTAGCTGAGGGACTTTGATTATTTAGGGAAGCTGAGCTTCTTAGTGTACAATCAAATGACAGTTTCACACTTCCGGGTGTTTTCTTGTTGTCTTCTTTTAAGTTTTGTTTTACTAGATTTTATTACCTCAATATTTTTACTTTAATCTTTTTCCGAGTGAGAGAACTTGTTTGAGGGAGGGCTCAACTCAGCAACCTTCTCATAATTGTCAGGGTGACCTGCTACGTCGCCAAACACAAAAATAAACGTTGTGACCGCCGCTATGGCGATGACTGAGTCGGTCCGAAATAAAACACAGAATTAAAATCAGGTGACAAAAGAGAACAAAAATGAGACAAATGTAGCAGAAAATGTTTATGAAAATATTGGGCGAGTCTGATTAACACTCCCATGGGAAGACCCATATATGCTCACACCTGTCCTTAAGAATTCAACTTGAAGACCGGCGGTCTTAATGACGCCGCAGTTGTACAATCGGAAGATGCCGCGTTTGTTTACGGGGGAATGAAACCAATGAAATACATATCGCATTCCATCATTATAAAAACATAAAAAAACAGCGCACACTACAACCGTGCACTGATGACTTTTACACTACCAACCCCATTGACTCCATTCCTCAAGCAAACTTCATTCAGCGTCATGAGGCAAATGGCACTCGAAAGCGGCATCACACTCTTCAAAACCGGGCCAGAGTTTTTTTGTTTTGTTTTTTCGTTTATGTTGTTTGCATTAAGACGATGGGCAAAACCGGAGCATTGGGGCGCTCAGGGGTGCTTGAGAAGAAGACTACCTCGTCTGGAAAAACAAAAAGGGCGTAGCACCAGCACAGCAGCACTCCGTTCTATTCGGTTCATCCCTAAGGTAACAGTGCGGTTGAAGCTACGTGCTCGTTGAACCAGTCCCACGTCTACCTTCCGTCACGTGATCACGCTACCGCCCATACCCTGAGCGAAATCAGGCGATGAAAGGGAGGCGGTCGATTGGTCCGACCAAAACGCAGCTTCCACCGCACTGCCAGCTGAGTGTCGAACGGGGGTATACGAACCCCCTCGAGCACCCCTCCATCCAGAGTTTGGTTCTTCGCTAAAACCGGTTACGGGAGCGGGCCAGCGCTCGGCCGACCCAATCGCACGTGCCATGCCATCTCGGCGGCAGCGGCGCGGGGGGTACTTAGTAGGGGACCCCAAAGACGGGCCGATCGTCGTCGCCCGTGCCGTCGAGACAGATTGCGGGCGCGCATCTTTATATCGATCAGGCGTGGCTGCCTAAGGGGCCTCCGTCGCCCGCTCTTCCTGGGAAGCCAGGAAGCCCCCCGACTCCGCAAGGTCAGTGCCGAGCCGGGTCGTTCACTCCGCGGAGTGCGAGGAGGTCGACTCTGACCCAAATTCCAGCGGACGAAAACATGCTGCCGCCGCCGCCGCCATGTAGCAGTGCGTGTGTGTGTGTGTCTGGCGGGAGGAAAAGCGCTGGCCGGGCGTGGTGGGGCCTCCCTTCCTCGGGGGGAAGCGGCGGAGGTTCGGCTCATTGAGTAACGCCTGACGCATATAATGCTCTCGTAACATACAAGGCGCTGGGGGAAGCCGCGTGTTTTCTTCTATAGACCAAACACGCTGTTTACAAACAAGTCAGCGGAAACCAGATTCGCATGAACTGAAGCGTCCGCGCATGCGGCCGTAGCGACCCTATAGCCCCACCGCAGCGGCGTGACGTCACAGTTACGCGTTGGTCTATTAAAGGGACGTGAAAAGATCCAGTATGTTCAGCGGGCGCATCGACAACCTTTAATCGATTATTTTAGCGGTTAGTATTCGGGTTTGATATAGTGAATAGTCGCACTCAGCCGTCACCCTTTCACCCTACAGTCGCCGCCTTTTGATCTGATCTGCCACTGCCGTACTGCTGTAGTCACGCTTATAAAAGCGAGCTACATCGATCTCCTAGCGCGCGTTACTGTCATTATCGTATGCTGTACCAGTACGACATACGTGGCTTAGATGTGTGAATATCAGTAGCGGCTAGTGTTCACACACCTAAAACTCTGCGTGCCTGAAAACTTGGTGACTAATGTCGTTGCCATAATTTCGCCTGTAAAGAACGACTTCTTTAGTTATTGCCTAGAAGCGCAATGTGTTCACGCTTCTTTGTTCGCGATTCGTTCTTCGGCGCTCTGATCGACTTAGGCAACAATCTCATTTATTGCAAAGCAACACTTGGGCGCTCCGGGCTTGCCAGCCCCTGCGTTCATTAAAGAATCACTAAACCACTTTCTGAGATAGTCTATTTATGGCCATAACTCTATCCATGGGTTATAAGCATCCTAGAAAACCAAACATTACAATTAGGCGTGGCCGCTTTTTTTTCTTTCAAACTAACATCAGTATCAAAAGATTGACGCCAGACGGCACCAATGGACGAAGAACGCAGAGCTCTGCCCTTCTTTGTGCAGCAACGGCGCACTCTTTGTCAGCGACAGTTCCGAGGTAATCTACCGTTTGAAACCGATTCTAACGGAGAAATCAGCCTCGCTTGAGTGTTTGGGTTTTTCTTAGAATGTTAAGAGCCCATAGATTGAGTTATGACCACAAAAAATTTCAGCAAGTGGTTTAGTGCCCTTTTAAGCTATCGGTAACTGCAGTTTAATACGTTGAAATAAATCCATTTTAAATCTATTTCATTACTTTAACACAAAGTATTATAGGGCTGGTTTGGACGAGGTGAGCTTAACGTTGAAATGAGAGTGAGGAAAAAATCCGTGACACGGCCCCCCAATTTTGGAAGTCGTCCTAAATTTATGATTTTAAATTAATACGATAATTAATTAACTAGAAAGGTAAATAGACGCGCATTTTATTGCATGCTCACGATGTCCAAATATTTTTAGGATTGAGATACATTTCCCTTTCTCTCACTTAGTTTGCGAGTTTGTGTGGGTGCGTATAGGACTATTGCTTGAGATTGCGTTGTATTCAGAATACTTTTCTCATCTATCTCTTTTCTAATTTAATAATGGCGTACTAGCCGGTCGCCCTTTAGTCCCAGTCTATAGCTGACCTCTTTGTGTATTCATTTATTGTATAATACAACTAAGAAGGAAAAAGAACAAAAAAAAAAAAAAAAAAAAAAGTCCTGACGTCAAATTCATTTTGTTTTCTGTTTGTCGCAGGAGGGCGGGGCAGCGGAGTCCATACCTGGCAGGCCATGCAGTTGAAGACCATGAGCGCCATCCTGAGGGGGAAGCGAGCCCTGTACGCTCTGTGGGACCAGAGTCTGTGGGCACCGGCCGTGACTCCCAAGCCCGCAAATGTGCCCCAGAAATACGCTGCGAGCAAAGAGAACGTGCGCGCTTGTAACCAAAAATAGACATACAAACAAGCTCAAGAACGAAAGTCAAATAAAATTACAAGCCTTCGTTCACTTCACCAGACTCCGATTTATTTGTTATTGTATATATACAACATTCAAAACCGGAATGTGTATTATATATATATATATATATATATATATATATATATATATAGATTTTTTCCTAACCCAAGCCGTGTTATTAATATTATGATGTCTTCAAATATGTTCGTTTTTCCCCCGCCATTTTTCTTTAAGCTCGGTTCAAAGAAAGCGACGTCCAAGTAGTTGTCCGATACATCAAAGCTACCCCGAAAACAACTTTACGCCGATTCCTAAATGTGCCCGAAAATTTGTTAAGTGTCATTTCAGTGGGAACGATGAAGTATGTTCCTTTCATATAAAAAATTTAAGATTTTTCTATGAGATAAAGCAACACCGAGCGCGCTAGAGCGCAAGCTGTCTAGCTTCGAGGCTATAGTTACCAGCTAACTTCACAAAAATTTAAGGCCACAGACGTTAATTACAGTCGCCCATTGTTCAAGCGCCGGGCAACGTTGCCTGTCTTTCTGAGTGCCCTCCGCGTGCCCTAATGAAGTTTAAAGAACTGCGTCTCCATATTTCTTCCATTCTAATTTAGTTTGCCCAACATCTGCGTCGCATTTGAGCTTTCTAACATAGCACCACCGCGAGTAAACCGAGCAGGTGTACTAATTATGTATAATTTAGATAATGAAAGTGGAACAGTAAAAGTTGAAGCATCACTTCTACAAAAAAAAAAAAAAAAGAAAGGAACAGCAACAATGCGTGAAGGACTTCACAATGTAAGTCATTGCATATCGCTGGACCCAAGGCTCGTTGCGATGTCAGTACGTAGGACAATTACCCGTAGAATTCCAATTACGTACTATCGTCACCGACGGGATAAGAACGACGGGAGTGAGCGAAAGTTGTCTCGTCTCCGACGCGAACTTTTTACCTTGGATAACACTTCGGCGTCTGTGAGCCTCGAGAAGGCACGCGCATCTGAAGCACAACCAAGGGCAACGAGTGCGTGCTGGTGAAAGCCGTGCGTTTCAGAAAGACGCCCTGACATTCTCACCTCGCCAGTGACCAAACAACGAGATGAATCTAATTGTGCCGTAAATAGTATCGGACACGCGCTTTGTAGTCTCGAGCGTATACTTTAAATGGTACTCACCGAAGATCCATGTTTTCCACATGGCTTGGTAGAGGGCCACGTACATGCCGTAGAGCGCCATGCTGTGCAGAATCGCGAATATGGCCACATTTCTCCATACGATCTCGGTCTTGAACCTCTGCAACTGTTCCGCCTCCTTCGAAACCGGCTTCGAAACCGCAGGGCTGTGAGAGTTGATGATCTGCAGGAAAATCCGATCGTCCTCTTTAGGCACAATAGACAGCATCTTACCGTCGAGATGGGCACAACGAACCTACATAAGTAGCTATAATCAGTGACACCTAAAGAATCGCGGGGCGTGCCGAGTACCTGGTGTCTTATTACAGCTCAGAAGCCATTGAAATGGCGGAATTACGCGTAAGCACGCCGAAGAAGGAATGACTAAGTCAGAAGCGCCGTCACACAACGATTCTTAAGCTGTCTGTAAATATAGAGTCCCCCTCACGTGAACAATCGCACAAACTACGATAGAGTAACAATTCACGTCATCCCCAGTGCCGCAGCACCATGCGCATTCGGATGATGCTAAACATCCATGATAACGGTGTGGTTATTGTAATCCTCATCTGTCTCTATAGTCAGAAGCGATTTAAAAGAGCTCTTCTTGTAGACATAATCCAGAAAAGATCCAGAACTAAGTAATGATACTGCTTTGGGCACGCCCACGATCCCCTTAAAAATCTCTCACGGTATGCTGCTTCGTCGATCCGTCCACAAAGATGAACTCGAAAAAGTGGTGACCCTCCATGGCCCCGAGATGACGGTACAGTGACAGCTCTCCGCACGCTGTTCGCAGTTTTAAGTGTCCAACAAGCTGCGCGGGTTAGATGGGGACAGGTGGGCTCTTTTTGGGACCCCGTCTCTCCCATCCTTTTTACCCGAAAATAGGAAGAGAAATGAACGTCTCTTCCCCACGGGAAAGAAAAGCGCGTACAAGGTGGGTGACACCAAAGTACAAGGAAACCCCGTTTCTGGAACCGCATTAGCCCCCCCGAAAACGGTCATTGACAGCTCTGGACAGTGCGCGCTCGTCACCCCGCGTCTTGAAGGTCGTCGTTGTAGGCTCTCGTGGTAGGGGCTCAAGGGCGAGTGCTGCTCGCGCGAACGCCTAATAGGTCACGTACGCAGACGGCCTTTGAAGTCTGTTCCCGGCGGGCATGTTGGGACTTGGCCAACAACTCGTGGCTTTAATACCATCCGCGACCGTTGTCGTTGTTCTCGGGAGAGTGTCGATTGAGCGGAATGAACGATAATCGTGCCCCTTTCGTTTCGTCATCGGAGCCTCTGGCTCGGAAGAAGGCTTATTTAGGACAAGGGGGGCGGGCGCGGGCGCGGTGCGTGGCTCGGAAAAATAAAAATGGGCGAAGGAAATAGCCGTGCCAGCATAGAAACGTGCCTTATTCTGAGGCCTTGGAGTTATCGGCTTGTTTTGTGCACTTTTCATTATAACTGAATGTCACCCTAAGTCACGTATACGCATGGAGTCTGTTACGTATTAACAAAAATAAAATTGCGCGTCAATGCACACGCGGAGTGTAATTTGGTCGACAAGCAGATCCCGATTAAAGCTCGCGCAGAAGCTTTACTTCAATCTATTGGCATGTTGCGGTGTTGAAATTTTATTTCGTAACCGTCTCGATATATTCAGCGCAGGGCACCCCCAGTTTAGGCACTACATTAGTGCAAAAGAATTGCTATTTTGAGGTATATGAACCGCTTGTTTTTGTAATAAATTAATTAATCAGCTATTAAAAAACAAGAGCGCCGATGCCATTTATAAGGCTGCCAATTTAACGGCAGTACTCACAGTCTTCATTTATTTTCACCTATTTCTCTCTATCAATATATATATATATATTATCCTATATCAAGACGTACACGTTTCAAATGCCAATAGCATCGCTTGTTCCTCAGACAACCAAATCTTGAAACAACTACTTCGCGCGGCATATGAACAATGCAAATACTTCCTTTTTTATTGAGGTAAAAACGAGTATAGTAGATTTTCATGAATCCTGTTTAAGAACACAGCGCAAGCCAGTGAACAAATTAATCAACTTCGCGCAAGACACATTAAAATGCAATGTTAAAAAGGATATTCTAAACACCAAGCTGAAACACGTAATGTAATAAATTATAATCTAAGAATGTAGATTTAGACAAATGAAAACTTGTTTTGAAGTCCGCCTGTTTGCAAGTCTAGTGGGGTCACGTAATAGGTTGCCTCCGTAATACTCGTGAGCACAGCTAGTTGCTTGACTGTTCTCCTTCGAGTTAAGTTCAGAAAAATAAATAAAGGTTCTTCAACACCATCTCAATTCTTGCAGGCGTTTCCTTTGATTCCGAAATAAGAATCATCATTGTATATTCTTAACTGTAGCCAGAATTTCGCAGATTAGGGATCAAGTTGTGGCTGTGCCACAAAGCTAAAAAAAAAAGGCACAGTTATAATCAGGTTACGCCTATTTTAAGATACAAAGCCGCCTCGGTTGCTCCGATGAAGAACGACGGCCTACGGATTCCCAGTTGGCGAGTTCGAATCACGGCCGAGGTGCCCGCAATCTGACAGAAGCTTGTTCCGGAGAAGGTGCCGTATAACCGAGATTCGATTGCACGTCAAAAGATTCTCAGGTGGTTGACATTATTCATCATTTCTTCGCTGGGGGGCGTCAGGTGCTCTTCGTTGCTTTGGTCCTTAAAAAAAACCGAAATTTGAATTTGACTTTCACCCCACCATTCAGATCCAAAGTAACCGACGGACAGCGAGTTGTCAACACATTATCTTTCCCTTAAAAGAGTGTCAGTGAAAGCTTTCGCGCCTTTGGTACAGTCGAAACGTAATGAAGTGATAATTTTTTTGTTACAACTTGGACCGCCAATCGCGAAATAGGCGTGGAAACGACACCTTTCTTCCGAACTGATTGATTAAAGATCGCGATATTGGACAAACGCCAGAGGCGCGATCAAACCAAGGACGGCGGCCCGTATACGTGCCTGATGCCACGCACGCACCGCAGAGCGCAAGGGGTTGTTTGTCGCCCCGGGCTCGAATCTATAGAGGTCGGCGTGCGGTCGTCACGGACGCGCCCCTGTAACGTGGGACCCTCGTGTGCAGTTCTTCCTCACGTAGATATCCATTGTAGGAATTCGTGCTCGCTTTCTGGGAAGAGAGTCTTAAATAATGCTCCGTGCAGCTTACTCAAGTGTGTCTGCTTGTTGGTTGCACGTTTCAAGGCGGAACTTGGCGCCGTTAGCGACGACTTGCGTAAGAGCCAGCGTAGGCCGGTGCGTGCGAAACACAACCGTGAAGCGAGGGACCGGAACATCCGTGACTGAGAGTAGTGGAAGCGCTTCGGAAGCGCATCTTGATCGCATTCAGGAAGGTGACAATGATTGAGCACTTTCTATCACGTGAAGCGCATCGCTTCTTAATTCTGTGCTCGTATATATTGAATTGAACGCTCAATGCGGCGGAGAAGCTAAATAAGGTGCCGTACAGGTTGAAGCTAGAATCATAGTTGGCTTTTATTCGAGGTAGTACAGTGAAATTAATATTCGAGTTTGCATTCAACGGTAGTCAGCAACTGATGGCATCCTTGTTGTTTAACACTCAGACGAAATTGATAGCATAGGAAACTTTTTTTTTTAGACATGGTAAGGAATTATTGCACCGATGGCAACATTTCCAAGGAATGGAAAGTGCAGAAAAAAACTTCCCTGGCAACACTGTCAAAATAGACGGAAGAAGTGATAGCTTGGGGGCAATTTTATCGAAAGCACAGGCACTTGAGCCTGCATTTTTGTGCTGGCTGACTCTCTGCTACCGGAAAACTTTACACAAAAAACAATCTGCTATCTCTGTTGAAGATAATAGGTATAAAAAAAAAACTAAAAAAAAAACATTTGTATTATCTTTAGTGTTGGTGCCTTTTAAAACATCTTTCTGACAACAACCAGAGAGAAAGAAAAGCTCTTGAAGAAAAAAAAAAACTTAGATAGCTTGGCATTTTCGTTTGTTGCAAAATGTGTGAATTCTGTTGTTATTGACTTTGAAGTTTCAAGCAATAAGAGGTCCAAGATACAAGCTTGCCATGCAGTTGGAGCAGAAACTTTGTGCGAAACCCAATTTCTCAGGCGTGTTGTCAAACGAGCCTTCCGGGGACACCTTCATTGCGCACGTGCCAAGCACAGTGTATGAAATAGAGCACGGATGCTAACAGTTTCTTTTTTTTTTTTTTCTTGGACACTTCAGGTAGTCGTTTTATAATATTCTGAAGGTGAGCTCAACTTAAAAGCTATATTGTACGAAAAAAAAAAACAACATTTATCTAATTCTAGTATGTGATGAACCGAAGTTTTCCCACAACAACTTTCTTATCTACGCTCAGTAATTAGTTACGGAGACTTGTGAAGAATATACTAGCTCATTGTACTTGTACGCAGTAGTAAACTTATCGCGACATTGCTTAATGAGACGACAGTTCTTAAACATTTCTGGATACCACCACCGTGTCAAGAAGACGAGCTGAAAGAACTAAATTTAGTAAGAAGGTTAAGAAGTTTCTGATCAGAGCGTCTGATGAGCCGAAGTCCGACAATATAAAACATAATCTCACCGACATCATCATGGAAGTAAAGTCTTCAAAGTTGTATAGGCGAGACTCGAAACTGTTTTTCGCTCGCTGGGGGACTCCAGCCACGTGTATACTGCCGATTCGAACGAGTCCACGCTGAGTAAAGCCACCGAAATACTGAGCACCAGAGCTCCTTCTTGCAGCGTCGATCGTGCCGATATGGGAGAAAGCATCCGGGAGCGGAGCATTATTTGCCCTCAACAATGACATGGTTAGAAACAAACGTCACATGGGACGAAGCATCCATCAGCATGTTTCATTGTTCCAAAGGCCTGAAAGCCTGCGTGTTCACAATCAATTTTCTGCGATCCATCAAACTGCGGTCGGTGGAAACGGCTGGAAAACTGAATTGCTCCCAAGGGTTTGTACCACCATCCATCCAGAGCAAACGACGCGCACGTGCATGGCAGCGCTGCGCTATCGGCCTTCACATCTGGAAGACCTTATGTTTCCGGAAAACAAATTTCGAATCGCATAGGTGGAGGGTATAATATGTCAGACAAAGATTCGAGACATGCTTGTTCGTTCGGACGGACTTCAA